CGAAATATTAAGCTGATATATATTTAGAACTTTTATTTTAAATAATAGAGGCTTGGCATGAGTATAACGGTCTTTAAAATATATTAGACGTGCTACATGCTTCTGCTAACAATAAAAAGGTTAAAGTTTCTTTTTATTTGAACTAACCCGAAGCAATGTTTGCATAATTTATGTTACAATAAATAAATGAGTGATATATTTGTAACAAAGTATTTTTATTTAAAGCATTTCTTGCTTTGTACAATATTCCTATTCATTTTGAAATTTTACTTGATATGTTTTTAATGTGATTTTTCCATGTAAGATTTTCATCTGTACAAACACCTAGAAAGTTGTTTACTATTACTTTTTTAATTTGTATACTGTCAATATAATTTTTAAAAATAGCTTTTCAACCATTTTAAGACAATGCCTATTATTCCATAATATTTTAATTTTTTGGCAAAAACTTTATGATCAATGGTATCAAATGCTTTCGCAAAATCAATAAATATTCCTAATGTGAATTTAGACTTGTTAAATGAGTCTTTTTGTAAGCTGAATAATAGCATACTCTGTTGAATTATTCATCAGATAAGTTATTCATCAGATAAAATTATTAATCAGATAAATTATTCATAAGATAAAATTGTTAACCAGATAAATTTTCATCAGATAAAGTTATTAATCAGATAAATTATTCATCAGATAAAAATCTCGATTGACTCCTAAGTGAAGAAGATTATAAAATGACTTAACATCAAGAAAAAGATTTGCCGACGTGTCATTTTTCCTTCAAGAGTTTTGAGTATGTTGTCACGTTTCAAATGGACTAGGTTGCATTGTTTATTGACGATGATGTTATCAACAAATGAATACGTCCCAGACTTGACAACTTTTTCTAAAGACAATACCTTTCTTAAGATTTTTATCATTTTTCTGAGTGCCACATTCAAACCAAAACCATCTTGTTAGACAGCAACGCTGCCTTTCATATTCCACAACTTTATAGGGGAAACTGGGTAAAATTATTAAAATTAGTAAAATGAGGTAGTGGGGCAAAATGGGGTTTTGAAAATACACCCCATTCAGAGCCTCAGAGCATCGAAAAAAATATTGGATTTGAAATATCACGAGAAGAGACGTCGCCATCTTTTACTTTTGTTCACGTTTTCTTCAAGTATCGTCGTTGAGAGGTAAATACAATTTTGTCAACTTTTTAATCTTATTTTTTAACATTATATTTTAAAAAGCAGCTTCTTTGTAATTAAAGCATTGAATTAAATATATTATTGTTCCTGAATGATATTATATATTAAGCAATTAAGATTCTTATATATTCATGAGCTTTGCTCTGCTTTGTTTTTTCGAACAGTTTTATTATGCCTCCTGTGTTGGGGTAAAATGGGGTGTCTCATTAATGGAAACCAAAGAAAAAAAGAATCCAAAGAAAAACAAATCTGTCAAAAAATCAAATGAAGACACACCATGCCTCTATTGTGAGGATCTTTATTCCAGCAGCACAGAGAGTTGGGTCTCATGTACTGAGTGCCACAGATGGGCCCATTATTCTTGTGCAGGCATTGATGAAAGAAACAAAAAACCTTACTTTTTGTGTAAGCTATGTACTAGCAGTGATTGATTATATTTGTACTAGCAGTGATTGATTATATTTGTACTAGCAGTGATTGATTTATCATATTTGTTTGAGTTCCTCCTTTGATCCCATTTTGCCCCATCCATTACCCCGTTTTGCCCCATGCTTGGGGTAAAATGGGGTTTTTATGTTATTTAAAAAAAAAATGTAATAAATCAATTAATTTACATTCTTTTGACTTGCTGTTTTGTTACAATGTTGTCTATGTTGTTTTCTGATGTTTCAACATTTATTTGTAATCATTTTATTTATTTTTGTGACTTTTATAGGGTTTCATTCTTAAGTACCCCATTTTACCCCAGTTTCCCCTATTTCCATAATGCTTTGTCAACACGAATCTGGAGGTAGGTTGGTTTTCTGTTCGCGTCCTTGAGGAAAATGTCTTAAACTAACGTCTTGATTTTTCTTTAACGTCTTGATTTTGTCTTTAACAAACGTCTTGATTTTTCAGCGACCTGGTACAGCGACATAGTTGATAAATAGATTGAGCATGCAGTTTGCAGCTTTTTTCTGGCTTTGTTAGGTAATCCGAGAGTAAATGTGCACATTATCCACTCTTAGCTTACGTGAGATGATATTAGCTTGTTCAGCCTTGTTAATTCTGCTAGATGTACATCTACGAACTCGTTCTCTTTAAGGCGGCGATTTACAAACTCTTTGTATGCTGTTGTATATATATTATTCGTAAACAATAAAAGCTGTTTTGTTAAATGATAATTTGTTTTAAAAAAAATATTTTTAATTGTTTTTTATAAATAAGAGCGTGTACTTCTTTGTTTGTAAATAAACTTTGTTGAAAATAAATACTTTTGTAAAGAAGTTATATTTTTTGTTAGCTTTTCTAATAATTAATACTTTGCTAATTGTAAACAAAGAAATAAATAAATATACTTTTATTTTGTATTTTATTATTTTGGTAAAAGTAGTGCAATTATATAAAGTGATGTGGAATAGACTTATATAAAGAAAATATATGGAATAGAAAGACAAGTCATTTTAAGTAAAGGTGGTTTTCACAATATCTTGTAATGATACCTCGTGGTAATTTGTTAATGTATAAGTAACATATTAATTTTTCTTGATCACCTTTTATGCTTTGTTATCTCATTTTATTTATGTAGGTTGCTATGCGATCATTTTCAAACAACTTGCACTTTTCTTTGTCAAAGACAACTCTAAACAACAAAAAGTTTTTTGCATTATTTGTATAAAGGAAGTAAATTTTTTTAATAATTATTTTTTTATTTTATTTTAGTTAACGCAGAATACCATGAGAATTTAACTATGAAGTTATTGCCTCTTTCCTTACTGATGATTCGAAATTTGCTCAGAGCTTGATTCGAACTCTGAATCTCTTGCGCCTAAAGCAAGCGATTTTAATACTGCGCCAAATTTAATTACTATATTCATTAATCTTGCACTGCTAAAAACCAGAATAAATAGAAACCATATAATCAATGGGATTACATATAGGTTTCATAATCATCAACTGTTTAACAAATAATAGAGCAAAACATTGACCAAGCTTCTGATGTGAAATGAATACTCTTATTTAGAACAACTTCTAGTGTTATAGCATTTTTGAAAACGCATTTAACTATGAAATATAAAATAAAAAGATAAATTTATTGATATCTTAATAAAAATAATAGCTGAAAAACCATAATGAGTGTTTATGCAATCAAAATCGTTTATTGTTTTACTTTAATATCAGTATTACTTAATTTTAATCCGTAGCGATCTAAAACTTCTGATGTTACTGCTTATAACAAGATTTTTTAATCCATGAGTAAATTGCTAAATTGTTATTTATATATATAAAGATCATATTAAATATCATTTTGTATAAATAATAATTATTAATAATTATTATTTATACAAAATGATATTTAAGATGATCTTGAACTTTACTAGATGTTGCATTTTTGAAAGGTTCTTTGTTATTAACAAAAATAATAACAAGTGTTTTTTCTCTTTGTCTTGTTTAGTGTTCTTTCCAAAATTCTTTCTCTTTGTCTTGTTTAGTGTTCTTTCCAAAATTCTTTATCTTTGTCTTGTTTAGTGTTCTTTCCAAAATAGAATAACTCAAGAAGCAATCAATGAGCAACAAACACAAATTAATGAACAACAAGACAAATTATTAAACAAAAAGACGAATTGATAAAAAGCAAGTTTGACATTTTTGACATTTGACATTTTTGAATTTATTTCTTTTTTCTAAAGTTAAATTAAGGAAATATTAAAAACAGTTTATTAGCTTTATATTAAAATTAGGAAAATGTTTATATTTCAAATTAGATCTAAATAAAACAATATATTTTTTAAGTTATTCATTTTATCAAGCTAGCTTTGATTATTTTTAATCAAAATAATAAACCTGCCACTCCCAAAACGACATCGGGTAAAAAAAAGGTAGTTTCAGAGCCTGTAATTAAAAAATGTTTATTGAAATTTGGAAGTTTAATAAAATTTGCATAGATAAATGAAATAAAATAAAAGAATGGTTTGAAAAAAACTAAAACATATTTTTGTCATTAACTTCTTTGTACAACGTTTTTTTTTTTTTTTTTTGCAATGTCAGCAGTATAACAAATCAATATATTCATAAACCACACAGTAATTTTCTAGTTTTTCAACTATTCTAGTTTCTAAAGATAATATGGATTTCAAGTTCTAAAAGTATTCCAAAAAAACAAGTAATATTTACGCTATCTCTAAACAGACTCTAAAAAACGTGGCACAGAAATTTAGCACAAAATTCGGTTCTGTAAATCGCGATTTTCGCATACCTTATTATAATTTTAAATATTTATTTTAAAAGAATTTTGTGTTATTTGATATTTTCAAAATATTTAATACCTATAATCTGGTAATTTATAACTATATTGTTATAAAATAATCATTGTTATAAAAAAAATTTTCTAATGTTTTTATTTTAACCATCGTGGTTCGCTCTAATTTTACCAACATAAAGCTTTAGCTTTATGTTGGTAAAATTAGAGCGAACCACGATGTTTTTACAGACGCTGGAATGTTATTATAAAAAACATTTTACAACTAAGCTGAAGACTGAAAATATTTTACAACTAAGCTGAAGACTGAAAATAAACTAAACTATACTAAAAAAACTGAACCAAACTAAGCTGAAAACGCATTTAACTATGAAATATAAAATAAAAAGATAAATTCATTGATATCTTAATAAAAATAATAGCTGAAAAACCATAATGAGTGTTTATGCAATCAAAATCGTTTATTGTTTTACTTTAATATCAGTATTACTTAATTTTAATCCGTAGCGATCTAAAACTACTGATGTTACTGCTTATAACAAGATTTTTTATAAAATAGTTAATGACTCACGTTCATCGTCTCTGTAAAACTTGTCTGCAAATATACTATAAAATGATTCGATGGAAAAAAAAAATCATGTTTTTATTAATGTTATTAATGTTATTATTGGTTGCAACTATTAATACGAGATATAAGGTATTAAAAACGATCGATAAAAACTCCGTCATGTATTTTAATCAAACAGAGAAAGAAAGTGAAATAATTAGTAATAATTTATACAAAACACAGTTACTAAATTTGACTGAGATAAATGATTTAATTCCAAGCACTATTAAAACTATGCAAAGTACAAATCAAAAAGATATACTCGCAAAAGAAATGGAAATACTTTCACACATAATATTTGACTCCGTAGAAAAAAATAACGCAATAGTTTACACGACTGTAATCATAATTTCTTCTCATGTTTATTACAGAAACAGAAGAAATATGATTCGAGAATCCTGGGGAAATAGTTATAATTGGATAACAAATGAAAAATATTTAGTTGTGTTTTTTGTGGCTAGGATAACAGATGCAAAAGCTACGATACATATGGCAGATGAATCAAAAGTACAAAAAGATATTGTTTTTGTTGATATTATAGAAGATTTTTACTTACTTACCAAAAAGGTAATCATAGAATTAGTGTGGGCAAAAAAAAACGTAAAATTTAAAACACTTTTAAAAGGTGACGACGACGCATTTATAAATATAGATAACATAATGAACTTTATTAAAAGTATTGATATTACAGACGGATACTTCGGAAATGTTATCTATAATGGCCGTGTAAAAAGATACGGTCGATATGGAGTGTCTAAAGTAGAATTTGAAAATGATTATTATCATCCATACTGTTCTGGAGGAGGCTTTATATTAACAAACTCAAGTGTATATAAAATGACATCAATATTTGACTTAAACAAAGTATTTCGAATAGATGATGCCTATGTAGGAGAAATTGCTTTTCAAGCAGGTATGTATAATTTTGTTTTGTTTTGTTTACAACAATGCTTAAAAAAAAAATTTTTTAATATCAATAACTAATTCTTTACAAAATAGGGATAACAGCGCATCATAAAAATGGTTTTTATATGAACAATGGTATATGCAAATATTTTAAAGAAACTTTGGTCACACATCCCGCTGATAATCCTGGTTGTAACAGTTTTCTGTTAAGTAGATCATTAATTAATAATAAGAAACTTCCAAGAAACCTTCGTTTGGAAAATCACGCATGCTTTGACGAAAATATTTGTTGAACTTAAATCACGTTTGTTTTGCAATGAAAATGCGTATTACACGTGAACTCAAATATGCAAATAAGGGTGTTATTTCACTGGCTTTAAAAACGGAGCGTATAGTGACTTACTCAGCATAGTTTAAGGAAAGATCCGAACGATTTTCATTTCAATAAGTGACTAAAAACCTCTTATTTTATCTTTATGTAAACAGTAAAAAAACGTTAAAATCCAAGTTTTCACATTAGTTTTCACACATAGCAATTTACTATCATAACCTCTTTATAGTCGTTTGAGTAAATTACTTAACAGAAACGTTTCAGCTTTTGTATAACTTCTGCCCCATTGCATTAAGCTAAAACTTCAAACTCATAGATAATAAAATCACTATTTGAAAACAAAATAAAACAACGAGCTTTGTAAATTTTTTTAAATAAAACAATCAAAACGCGCATAAAGTAAAACGACATTTTTTGAAAGCGACAGGGCCTAAACGCTATATTTTTCTTCGGATCTCTCCTTAACTACGCTGAGTAGTAAATCTTTGATATATACGATATAAATAAACATTTACTAACTGATTATTATGTTTTTATGTTATCGCACTTTTTAGTAAATAGGAAAATTTAAAATAACTAAAAATATGTGACGCTTAAAGCTACAATCCACTTATCAATTCATTTAACATTTTATTTCAGATTTTACAACAAATTTTATTCTTTAATTAAGTTTAATAAAACTTAAACAAATCAACTTTTTGATTTTAGGGTTATATATTATTGAAAAGAATAAAAGTTGAGTTTCAACAATTAGCATAGTATTTTTACCAGCCATTTTTTCAACCAATGATATTATGTTATAAAGCAAAAATAGCAAAAAATAAATTTTTCGCTTTTTTTTTAGTAATTCGAAAAACAATATGGACGAATTTTTTATTTTAATAACAAATTTAAGTAACTGAGTTCAAATCGGAGATGTAGGTCTTGAGACTCATATTTAACTACCTTGGTCTTGGTATTGATTTAGAAGCCTAAAGTCTTGCTCTTAGTCTTGGTCTTAAAGTCTAAAGTATTGTTCTTGGTCTTGATCTCGGACCTCTACTGTCTTTTACTTTCTTGATTCTTACAAAAATCTTCAACTCAATAGGGCGGGTTAATAAAAATGAGCAATTGCTTATACTAACTAATTGGTCCGCATTATTGAATAAAACCTTTAGCAATCTTGATGACGTTTTTATACCCGTAAAGCTGAGTACTTACTGAGTAATTTTCTTAACTTTACGTGAATAAAAATTTAAGGAAAACTACTGAAGTTTTTATTCACGTAAAACTGACTAATTATTAGTAAAAGCAATTTCCCTCTCTCGAGATGTTAGATGGCTTTGTGATGGTAGTACGTACTTGTTATTCATATCGCACATAAATTTCCGAAAATTTGAATTCTCGACAAGAGATAATGGAAGTGAGCATCCAACAACAAGGTTTGCAGCTAAGGAGTCTGTACGGTTGATATTTCAGATTCATCTTTGAAAAACCCGGGTTTTTTTTACTTATGTTGTTTCTGAAATGACCCATTCACATTATTTTTTGTAACTATAATATGTGGTTACTAGTCTATACTTCTGCTATTAGTTTTAGACATTTTTTATTGGTACTTTTTGTTTTTAACATTACAAAAAAAGTTAGCTTGTTATTGTTGTTATTATTACTGAACGTTTTCTTTTTCATTAAATATATATTTTGTAGATCATTCAAAATATGATATAAAATACTATTTTGTAGGCAATTATGTCATACAAGCGTAACGTTTTATTATAAGGTATTGTTTATAAATGCTAATTATTAATTATCACACTAACTAAGGTCTAATAGTATTCAAACATTTTTTGACACATGCAAAACCCAAGCAATGAGTTAAGTAGATCCAGCATTTAACATTCTAAACAGGAAGCAATTTATTATTACATTATAACATATTATAAATACATCTATGCTAGCCTAATAAATAAAGAACGGGTGCAAAGCTGGTCAACAAAAAGAACCTGTTTACCCAAGTGAAAGTTTTTATTGGACTTCTTTGAATCTAAATCTTGATCCTGGTCTTGCAAAAATTTTTTAAGTCTTAAGTGATTTTTAGATGTCTTGGTCTTGGTCTTTGTCTTGAAGCATTCAGTCTTGGTCTTAGTCTTGTTCTTGAGCCTAAATATCTTGGTCTTAGTGTCTATACTGTCTTGACTGCATCTCTGGTTCAAACACTAAATATATAGGGTAGACCGGAGTGATTTTGCCACTAATAATTCGAGAAAAAGTTATTTTGTTATTTTGGCATAACACGGTATTAAGAAGATGTAAAATATTTATCATCTTAAAAATATAATCTTATAACTCTTGATAGATCATAATTGCCGCCTAACTCGATTGGTTGTTGTAAATTTAAAATTTGATTTGTTGTTTAATGTTATTAATTGAAATTATAGTGCGCCTTTGCTCCAAATGGCATTATTATTTATTATATGATATTGATTGAAAGTACGTTTGAGAATAACTGCTAAGGTGAGAGCTTCATAAATTTTTCAAAACTTTTTTAACTGACGTTTGTGGTATATATTTGTATTTGATTGTCGTTTGTTCTAATTGAATATCTTTCTTATATTTGCATTTCTTACCATAAAATGCTTACCATCGCAGATTGTTTAAAGCCGCTACATTAATTAACATGTTTAAAATACATCAAAATGGATATATCCAGACTGGGATATTCTACTTGAAAAAGTATATTTTGAAAAAAAGTACTTTACTCTGTATAGATGAGTTTCAAATGTTTACATTCTCGTTTTCAAAAAAAGATGCGCGCGCAAACTTGTAGGTAGAAAAACAAATAATCGGAAATTTTCAAGTAAAAACATTAAGACGTTTATGTTAAATTTATTCACTGATTGTTATTTATTCACTGATTCACTAATTTAACAAGAAATAAATTATGCCAACCAGTTGTTGTGCAGTTGGTTGTTCAAACAAATTTAAAAAAGAATGTGAATTAAAATTTTATAAATTTCCATCAGGAAAAACGCCTTTTGAGAAAAGAAGGCAAATAGACTGGATTAAAGCTATTAACCGTAAGGATTGGGACAGTTAGGAAAGTGAAAAGATTAGTAAAGAACGAGTATGCAGTACACATTTTGTATCAGGTATGTTTTTTTAATGAATGAGGTTAGCTAATAAAACTATATACGTAGTAATACGTTTAATAAGATTCTTTAAATTAGTAATTTATAATATTTGGTACATTTATTAATTCAATTAAATATTATATTTTATTATATTATTTAATTAAATTAATATTTAATTAAATATTATAATTGTTATATTTTAGGGAAACGTTCTGATGACCCATCTGACGTTGACTGGAGTCCATCTGTATTTAATCACCTTGGAGATGCTACGATTTCTAGTTTGATTAAAAAAAGGAAGAGGAAAGATTGCTATAAAGCTTTATGTAAAAAACGATCTTTCAAAAAATCAATACTGTCATCTAGCCAATCAAATGATATAGAGCTTGATAACTATAAAGATAATATAAATAATGACATAAATCCACTAAATGACAAGTCAGCTATTTCAAAATTTTGTCAGCATGATACTTATAAAGTAGAAGTGGAAACTCTTAACTTTCAGTTAATGCAATACAGAAATGAATTGATCGAGAAATCTAATGAAATTATTGAACTTAAAAAAAAGAATGCCAGACTAGACCATAATAAATATATTTCATACCAAAACCTATATGCAAATATATATATAAATGCAAAAATTATATAATTATTTTGTTAGGATACTTATTTCTCTAATTGTATATATATATATACTCACACTTATTTATTGTATTTAAACCATAATATATTCCTTTTAATAAGCAAAAATATATTGAAATGGATTCTAGTCATTTAGAGAGAAGATTTGTTGCTGTTAAGACTAGAAACAATTTTTGGCATAAGGTAATATTTTTTGATTTTTAATAAAAAAGTTGAATTTTATGGTGAATTCTCTCCTTTTTAAATTTTATGTTGTAGGAGCTGAACCTGCATCACATAATCGTGATTCTGACAATAAAATTTTTGATAAAAAAACGGAAACTCGATAATGATGACAATGTTTTCTTAACAAATGTAAGGGAATAGTAATAAAGTAGATAACATTTATTCAGTTACTATCAGCATGGGTGAAATGTGTATACTGGTATTACAAATAAGTTTCAATTGTTGATTTATTTACACAATCCCTTTTTTTTTAAATTAATATAAGTTGTTGTTATTTTTTTTTAATTTTGTTTTCGCTATCTATTTTTTGCGATTTATTTTTATTTATTTGTTATGTAAGTTATATATATCTATGTATTAAACCAGGGTATATGAAGTTTAACAAGCAGAGTAACATAATGGATATGGATTTAATTCAACCGTTAAAGATATCAACATTTTTAAAGAAACATCCAATTAGAAAGGATTCGTTCACTAGTTTAAATGCTAATGAAAATAACTCCAATTATTCTCTAATTAGTGATTCAGTAAAAGATGAATATTTATTTATCATTGATTTTAAATAGTGAATTATGTTTTTTAATAGTGGGGTAAGAGTTTGTAAAAAAGCACAATTTTACTGGAGAAATGAATGGATAGTAATGGAGATGATAGATAGTAAGAAATAAATTTAACAATTAAAAACCATTATTCCAGTATTATCAAACAGTTTAACAAATATATTTTTTAGATTGTACTATACAAGATAATAAAATATGTTCTTATTTTTGCTATTATAAATATTATCTTTTCTCAACTTGATTTATCAAAAACATATAACAATAAAGGAGGCCGACCAACAAATCCTACTAACAAAACATTTCCAATGGATAATGCAACATTACAGCGTGAAATTTGACAGGTTACCTCAATGGACGAGTTAGTAAAACTTGAGATCCAACTTGAAGACAATATAGTTAAAGAAGTTTTAAAGGTAATTTGATGCAATGGGAACTGTTAGCAATGATACAAAAGCGCATTATATTTGATTATGACGGAGGAAGTGCAATCAAAAGTCAATGTTATGTATGGCAATCATTTGCCAAACAAGGATTATACTGACTGTTTGTCATTACAACGTACCTTTAATTTTTTAGAGCTCATGCTGCCAAGAGGCTGAACAATTGTTGTTTAGGTGACATATATATTTTGTTATTTGTAGGAAAAAATTTGAAAAAATTTAGAAATTTTAATGAAATTTAGTATTTTGTTACAAATATGTAGTAAGTAAAATATAATGAACATGTTTTAGTCAAAGTTAATAAAAGCTTTAAAAATTTATCTAAGTTGATTGATAAAAAGTCATCAATCATTGATAAAAAGTTAATAAAAACTAGTTTGCATGACCTTAGTATAAACTAGCAGCAGGCTTTAATAAATCTTTCATGACAACAATTACTTATTTATAATAGCGATGAAACTGGTTTTTCGTCAGTACCATCTACTTCTGCTAAAGTTTTATCAAAAAAAGATACACAACAAGCTTAAAAACTAATTGTAGCTGAG